AGCTCCATGCAATCAACTGATCTTGGAACGCAGATTCATTTACTCGCATCACATTATATCAAAGACCAAGCGATCAGATATCATTGATTTGGCACGATCGCAGCTCCGGTTAACTGGCTGTATGAAGATTGGCTGGCCTGGCATTTTGTTCATTGAAGGGTCAACGATAGATTGTCAAGCATTCTATGACATCATACGCCGCTGGCAGTGGCAGTACTTGGTGGAACGAGGACGAGAGCAAGAGACAGTGGAATGTGACAAGACAGAATTGAAGGCGAGGCGACGGTTTAAGGATTTCACTCAAGTGGATGACATGTCTTTGCTCGCCGAAGCTTGTCGCAATGTTGGATTGGACTCGCTGTTTCGATCTTGCTTAAACTTGACAGTCGCTGACGATCAGCAAAGTATAGAAGTTCATGAGCCACTTTACGGAGCCTTAATTCATGTCGACCACATGAATGACGCAAAGACATACCGAAAGTGGTTGCGCAATGCGTGTGAGCAGCGAGATGTAGCGCTGCTGATCAAGAATTGCTGTACTACGAATGGCCGCCTGATAATTTTCGTGGCTCTAGTCGGCCATAAATCAAATTTGATCGGTGTTTTGAAGCGGTGGCGGACGACCAAGGTTGATGTTGATTCTCGCAATCGGCCGTGCTTTGAACGGATGATGACTGTCCTAGTGGAAGGAAGCCTTCCGCCAAGACGATCACTAGATCGATTGGATTGGGAGCGTACAAATAGCGACGCCCAATTGAGATTGAAAAGTGCCGAGGCATTGGCCATCGTCGAGTCGATTGGTGGGCAGGTATGGCGAGAGCGTCTGCGTAGCATTCTCGGCGCATGAGCAAAGCTGTTTACTAGTAAGTGCGCAATGTTTGCTCTTTGAAAGCTGGCGCGTTCTAATGCAGCTTTAACTGCGCCATTATTGCCCAAAGAATTGCAATGAACAATGACCGGATCGTTGTGCTTTCATATCAGGGGTAATGGGTAAATTAGCTTGAAGAGCTGCGCTGTGGGACATGACAGCGGTCTAATTGACAGTAGTTACCGGTTAGCGAATTAAGGCATGTGAGCGTGACAAGAAAGAAAAGTACATAGTAGTAGACTACCGGTTTCGTTCCATCTGGCCGCAGACCGAGTAACGGTGAGTCACGAAGTTCATTCGTCGCATCGCCGCGCTGATGGCGCGCCTCATTTTTCAAACCGAACCGCGCGGACAGGCGGAAGGCTTCGATTGACCGAGTGTCGTGACGAAACGTTCATCGCATCGAAGGGCGGCGACGGCGCACAACTTTTACCATGACGGCGCCACGGAGTCCTCGATCGAGTCGACGAAGGATCTCATCGGGTCGACAGAAGCAGCACAACAGACCAAAGGACAGTAATGGTAGTAGCTGGGGCTGCATGTCCTACATTTACCTTTGCCTCGCCATTGCCGCCATTGTCATTTCGCTTTCGCTGCAGAAGTGGTTGAGTGCATATACGGAAACGTCGCAGCAGTTGTCGCAGTCAAGCAATAGCAACAACAAATTCAGTGCGGCAGCGAGCAGTACAAGTAGCAATAAGCTCCGAGGATCGTCAAAGTCAAACTCCAAGGAAGACAGCCCAGCCAGTAATGGTGTCGGATTTGAACCGAATCCATCCGTTGCAAGAAACGGATCTGCTGGTGACGGCGACTCATTTTCCGAGAAGGATGTATCAAAGGACCATGGCTCGGACGATGAAGACGACGATGGCACGGACGCAGCGGAGGATGAAGAGGAAGGTTCGGCCGGCGATGAAGAAGACGATGATGCAGCGGAAGACGGTGACACAGAAAATACGAATGACGAGTCAGGAGAAGATGCCTCGCGCGATGGAGCCGAGAAGAAGGATTCAAGCGACGAGGAGCAGCTTGCTAACGACCAGACGGCCAAAACGGTGGGTGACAAGGACAGTCAAGATGAATCAGAGGAGCAAGAGTCAGTCAAGGAAGAGGCCAATGATGAAGATGACGAGTCTGCTGATGAGAAAGAAGGACAGGTATTAAAGGACGAGCAAGGCGACAATGACGATGACGACAAAGCTGTAACCGAATAACGTGTTTGTTCTAATTTCGAATGATACTTTGCTGAGGTAGCAGGATCAGATCTATGGGTCGATCGTGCGCATTGATAGGAATAGTCATTTCATCACTTAATAATTGACATTGTAGTCCCACTGCAATGAGGCGAGGATGCTTGACATTGGGCGCCAGCATACGTGAAATGAACCGATCGTAATACCCCTTGCCTTGTCCCAAGCGGTTGCCAAAGGCGTCAAAGGCAAGTCCAGGAACAATCAAAACATCCAAGTCGCCAGGTGCAGCTGCTTGCAAGAGACTATCTGGCGGTGGCTCGGGTATACCCCACTTGTTTCGTGGCCACGCACTGTGAAAGAGTGTCTTGTCGGCAAAGGTACCTGTCGTCAGACTAGTCTCCTTAATCCCTGTCGTTTCCACTCGGACCAATTCCATTTCACTCTTTTCAAAGTTCCTTCCAACCTGTGGGACGTAAATGTGCTTTCCTTCCTGTGAGGCATTAAGTAAAAGTGAATCCGTCAAAATCTCGCCTTGTGGCATGGAGAGAAAGACGCCTATAGAGCGAGCCGTTTTGTAATCTTCGAGTTGAAAAAGACGATCCCAAACCAGCTGACTCTCCTTTCTTAACTCTTCTGCTGACATGTCGGATAACTTGGAGCGAATCTGCTTGCGCAAAATCTTTTTGAGCTCGACGGAATCTCGAGGAGAAGCATTGGTGGCTTGTTGTTCGTTGACATGGTTGTTTAAACACATTCTGAGTGAACGCTGACTGTAAAGATAATAGCTCTGGCTGGAATAGGCGCTTGAAAGGCAAATTTGGCGAAACAAGAGCATGGACAAGGTAAGGTGGGTGTGCGCTCGTTACGAAAGCATGGTGGCAGCGCGGTGGCATGTCTTGGTTTTGGCCGCGGCGGCAGCAGTTGAACGCATCCTGCGAACCACGACTGCGCTTTCTGCTCGTGACTCCTTGACTGCCAATCAAAACTCCGGAAGTAGACTGGGCCTAATTTATTCTGAAAACTCATTTACGAAAGCCAATCATGATGCGTGAAAAAATGTCCGTCAGACTAAAATGTCCATGAAAAGTTGTAACAGTGCGACAATGACTGACGGTCGATGAATCAATCAAGTTTTTCGTCCGCTCATTTTTTAATGATGATGCTTTTGCCGAGCGTCTTCCAAAACTCCATCGCTGCTCGATAAAAGTAAGCAGCATGAGTGGAAGCAACATGTATGGATACTCCGACTATCATGGTCCGAAATATTTAAGATTGAATGGTGCAGTGGTCGAAACAGCATCCATTACCGGTAGCCCTCGTAGCAGCTGCGACACGGATGATCAACTTGAGGAAAACCATAATCCTCTTCAGGTTGGATTTTGGATGGAAGGGGACTCTCTCGCTCCACCCTGTGGCTCTTCAATATCCACCATTCATGCCTTGCTGCAGTTCGCCAACGTTACCAGTGACGATATTCTCTATGATTTGGGATGCGGCGACGCGCGTATCTGTTTGGAAGCTTTTGCGCTGCATAGATGCCAAACCTTTGGAGTCGAAATTGAAGACGACTTGGTTCAGCGTGCGAATACCCTAATTGGAAATCTTGCGAGTCAAGTCAATGAAGACCAGCGACAAGGAATTCCTCGCGTGCTGAAGTGTGACTTGCGAGACGTCTTGCATGCGCTTGTAACGAAGGCTAAAGACGTCTTTGGTTGTCCTACTGACATGCCGAATGACGAGCCATTATCTAACGAAGCGGACGTGCTAACAGAACTAACTGAGCTTCGATTGCCAACATTACTTGTCATGTACCTACTACCAGATGCCATCGATTTGATCCGAGACGATCTGATCTTATTGCTCAAGCTATTGCCAAGCACCTTTCGAATCCTTTGCAATACCTGGGGCATCAAGTCGCTACAAAAGACGAATTCGATTGAGATTCAGGAAGTTTCGTCGGCGTTGACGTCCCTCATGTTATATACGAGGCAAAGTTTGGAGTGAATGGCTGTATATTGTTTTAAACGACCAGGAGCAGGCTAATGTGGGTTGCGACTATCGTGCACCTACTATTGCGTCGGTTGAGCACATTGATCGAGCTACGTTAGAAGCTATGTCACCATCTGAAACAGTTCGCTGCGATGCCTTGCCATTACGTACTAGCTTTTGATAGTCCATCAATATTGTCCTGTGGTCGGCAAAGTACTCATACTTGTCGACTTCGTCCAAATGTATCCGCATTACATCCTTGACATCGTCGGCTGCTTTTGGTTGCTCGGATCCGTCAAGATGGACGACGTAGACGACGGAAACCGTGTGCCGTCGATTGTCGCGTCGGGGATCCGAGTAGACCCCGAACAGATTTGGAATGACTTCGAACAATTCGACATCAATACCCGTCTCCTCCTTTAGTTCTCGCTTGACAGCATGTTCAACTGTCTCTCCAACCATGACGAATCCGCCCATGGTTGCCAACTGCCCAGTATCCTTGCGCCGAACAACCCAAACGTGATCGCTTCCTGATGCAATGATTAAATCGATTGCCAGGCTTGGAGTACACATGCAGTAGTCGTCATATCTACTGCATACGCACGTTCCAGCTTGAGAGGCTGCCGGATGTCCTCCGTTCCACTGCAATGTTTCGCTTTGAAGATTGTTGCCAGTGATCGAGCAGTAGCTGGTGATGAAGGATCGGTGAACAGCAGGGAGAAACCAGGCAGCATTGGACAACAAGAAAATAAAAATCCATCGTTTCTTTACCCATCCAGACACTGGGAGTCGCTGGAAGCCGGTACCTTTGTACCTGGACATCAAAGCTCTTTGATCACTCGTTTTGTTGTCCGTTTGTTGGAGAAGTCGAAGAAAGATCGTTGCCATCACCGGTAAGACACTACTCTTGAATTATCTATGTAAGTAAAAATGATAAAATTGCGACCATAGTTGGGTTGGTCTAGCGGTAGGACGTTTCCTTCACACGGAAAAGATCGCGGGTTCGATCCCCGCACTCAATATTTTGTCTCGGAAATCCGCACGGGCAGACTGTTGCCTACAAGGAGGGACGAGCGGAGGCGCTGTTTTCTACCATTTTACAGTATCATAAGCAAATACTTTCGTCTTTTATGAATACTGTAATGGGCCTCTACGAATTCGTGGTCATACCGAACATCGCTGCAGAACGGACCGCTACGTAAACTCATGGGGAATATCGCAGGCTCTCGGTGGGTTAAACGTCAAAGCCGCGATATATGAAAAGAATATGGTTTGCATAAAGATATGTATGTCTTAAGGAACGACTTTGCGGAGTCGATTTCACGCACGTATCAAAAAAGTACGCCAAAACGCAAAAAAGCTGCCTCGCGCAGAAAAGCTAATGATCGCCATTCGGAATAGATCCATTGCTGCCATTAGGAATTCTCCAATCAACAATCAAACGGCTCCACTTGTCGTCCAGAAGTTCTGCGACCTCCTCCTCGCAGCCCTTCAATCGCTGACGAATGTACTCGGCCAGCCTTGGTGCTAAAGGTAAGCCCACTGAGTCTAAATTCTGTGTTGCATACATGAACGCTTTATCAATACATTGGGCCGCAATGTCAATGGCGTGCCTTCTATCCTTCGACCCACCGTCTTCTTCGCCCACCACTCGAGGTTTCCTCGCACCATCACGTGGGGGTGGGCTTAGCGCAAGGTTGGCTAATATGCGAGCCCCTCCGAAGGCAGAGGCAAACTTAGAAAGCTCAGAATCGCACCACAAAACCACAGACGCAACAGCGCCAGCAGGGGCAGTTTTTGTCGTATGCGAGTGCAACGACGATCCAGCAATGCTATCTGTGTCAAGATCATGTCCTTTGTCGTCCGAGGAAGCCTTGTACATGGATGTACTGCTGTCCATGAACAAATCCAAGAATCCCTCTACGGACAGAGCAAGGCAAGAAAAGAACGACTGGCTCAATTGGGCAGCGTAAATAACCAAATCAACCGATCCTGCACCCGATATTGGTCGCTCATTGAGCGCCTCCAGTAATAAGAGGGAACGTCTCGCCGCATATTGTTCCGCAGCCGTCTGATTGCGCCCCACTTTGACCAAAAGCTGGAGGTACAGTGCATCGTCATCCAGTGCGCAAGGCGAAACGACAGTCACTGTTGCGTTTGGGTCCGTTCGTTCGCGCTTGGATGCTTGTCGGAGTGCCTCGTTCTTTCTCCGAAGGGTCTCCTCCAAGCGGTTGCCAATACGTCGGGCCATGACGTCCAAAGTGCGTCGCAGTCGATGCAAATCAAGCACCTGCTGTTGTGATAAGCGATATGGCGTTGGTCGCTCATGTCTATCCACAAGGTCCAAAACTTCCGCCTTGGCTTTGACTTGCAGGTCAATCGCATCATTGTATCTGGCTTCTCGCACCAATGCACCAATTTCGTCTGTAACATCATCCAGCCAGTTTGGAATGTCTATCGGAGGAGCATCGTCGACCGTCACCGTCTCATCCAACGTTTTCTGCGTTGAAGCCTCCCGATTCTTCTCTAGTTCATCAAACACGTCGTCAAACAAGGCATCTGCGAGCTTCGTTTCCTTGTCAGTGCCGTGGTTGAATAGACTATTATTCTCACTCCCATCGTGTTCATCCAAGACATGTCCGTCAGATACTTGCGTATAGTCAAGTTCGTACGTGGCGAGTGCCCCCGAGAAATCAATTTCCTTCATTTCTCTAATGGTCTCCACTTGTGTTTCAATAAGCTGTTTAAGCGCTGTAACTTCGCGTCCCATTGTGGTCATTTCTCCACTTGCTTGTACAAAGTATTCGTATTGCTCTAAAACAGCTCCTTTCAAACTCTTTTTCATTTCAGCCTGTATCTGCTCCATAGCTTGGCACTTGTTGTTGGTTTCAAAGTCGCCATGTATCTGTAGAAAATTGTCGAGCCACTCCGTTTCTAAAAAGTTGGGTGCGGCAAACTCTGAAATTGCCTGAACAACTTCAATGTCGTCAGAAGCGTCGTATTGTTGCTGTTGGTGTTGAGTTGTTCGTTGCTGCTTGCTGGACGAGAAAAGAGATTGCTTCTTACTGGATCCGCCTCGCGCCGATGCCTTGGCAAGTGACTCTTTGGTGCTCGTTGCACCTTCCTTCTGCAGATCAACACCTGCATCATCCTTCATAGATGTTGTTGCCGATATGGACAACTGTTGCGCATTATCCTTTATCATTGCCTTGGAAGTACTTTCGTCGACCCTCTTGATATTGTTGTTGCTCGCCGCGGACGCTCGTCCATTAGTACTGGTCGTTGCGCTCGTACTTGTGAACCCAGCGCGAAGAAGCGTCGGTTTGGAAACACTTGCTCGCTCCCTCAAAGCCTGCGCCCACTTTTCTCGCTGTCCGAGCGACTGCGTCACTAGAAACACGGGTGGCCTGACTTCCGTGTCTTCATTGGGAGTGTGTAAAACAACCAGTTCGTACCCCGTCCTGGCATCAGTATGCGCATGCTCCCGAAAGACGCGACGGCCACCGGGAGGAAAAGTCACTTGAACATGTTCCAGTGGTACCGCTCCAACAGGTGGTCCATGAAATGTCGCTCGTCCAGCCGATTCGTGGTCGACATCGTCTGGTTCAAAGTAGAAGAGATAGCCGCCTCGCATGCAAAAGTGGTAGATTGGAAATCTGATGGCATCCCCATTCAAAACATCTTCACCCAGCATAAGAGGACCATCCTGCGGCGGTTCACTGGCTATGTCAAAGTCCATGACGCGTAGAATATCCTCTGGGTCAAAAGTACGAATGTGTCCAGCCGAGGAAACTTGCGGCTGGTAGCGTCCTGGAAAGGAGGGATCTGGAATTGATGTTACTCGCTCTTCCTCGTAGCGAGGAGTATTTCTAGAGGTCATGCTTCGTATAATGTATCGTAGTGATGATCTATCGCTCTTCTTTAGTGAGAAAAAGAATGTACAACCCTTGATCGAAAAGAGAAATTGCAGCAGTGCGTTCGTTGGAAAATGATCATGGTGGTCAAGTTCGTCAGACTGAGTGTCGCAACGTGAATGCAGCGGCCCGCTTGAAACGGACGCGCAGTGGCAGTAACTGACGCACAGAAATTTGGGAGCGCCGGCCCAGCTTTCGGCCGTCACAAATTCTGCGAGGAATGCTGTCAACGCACGAGACGAGATGCGAGATGGAACAAGTCACTACTACTGTCACAGACTTGGTCGCGCAATATCTTCGACAACCCTACCGTCACGCCACTTTAACAAGCAAGTTCTCGGCAATCAAGACATAAAATGAGCGTCTGGTTGTCACAATCCAGTTTGATGGCTCCTGTACCTCCAGCATGGCTTGAATCCATTTGTCAACGACTGACAGAAGATGATCCCTCATTAGTAACAGTCGAACTTGCCAACCTTCATCGAGTTGATGACAATTTTTCCAAGTTATTCGCAAGGGCCTTCGAACACAACACTAAGTGCACGACGCTCATTCTATCCTTTGCATCTATAGTAGATGATGGAGCCTTCGCTTTGGGGTCGGTCCTTTCCAAACATAAACATGTCACAAAACTACAACTGCGAGACTTGCGCAATCATCGGGAAATTGTTATACTATTAGATAACATGCGTACCAATAATACAATCACGGAACTTTCTTTTCGACACTGCCAGCTATGTCCTCGATCCGCCCAAGCCATTCAGCATTACCTTGAATGGAACCCAAACGTACAAGAGGTCCGACTCGTGGACTGCCAGTTGGTACACGATCAACAAGCTTCCATGCAACGATTGTCAATCGGTTTTCAACACTCACCATCTCTGCGAAACATTTACCTTCTAAACATGGAGCTCGAGCCTGTGTCGGCCAATCATATTGCTAGTATGCTCACGAATCCTACCACCACCTTGAAGGAGCTACATTTGGGCGAAAACAATCTGGCCGATCAAGGGGCCGGCATTCTCTCAGCGGCGGTACTTTCCAATCACTCGCTAAGTTTGTTGGACTTGCGGTCCAATTCCATTTCCGCGCAAGGGGCACTAACACTTCAAGGCATGGTGGCCCGATCGACAAGCATGCTCTCACTTTGTTTAAATCACAATGACCTTGGCGCAGCCGGAGCTACCGCTATCGCTCGAGGATTGCAGCAGTCAACCAGTACACTCGTCAAGCTGCAACTAAGTGGCAACGATATTCAATGCGACGGGTGCAAAGCCATGGCGCATATGCTGCGGCTTAACAAGACTCTTGAAGTATTGGATCTTTCAATGAATGATATTCTGAACGATGGTGCGGCAGCAATTGCTCGAGCACTCACCAGAAACAAGACGCTCCGATCCATCAACCTTCGACGCAATGACATCTCGGATCAAGGAGCGCTGACCTTTGCCCAGTCACTTGGTTGCATGCGTGGATTGAAAGAACTAATTTTGAACAAGAATACAATGACGGAGCTTGGCGGAGACGCCTTGCTCGATGCGCTGCAATGTAATACAGAAATCGAGTACTTGACGGCAACCGACGACTCTCGAGCGGACCGACGTATGGTTCCTTGGTTTCGATTGAACAAGGCGGGTCGACGCATTTTCAAGGACGAAAATGTGCCGAGCGCCCTTTGGAGCAAGGTGTATAGTAAGGCTGCTAGTGATGCAAATAGTTTATACTTTTTCGTCAAGGCGCGGCCGGAAGCGATGCCAGTGGTAACGACTAATAAGAGAAAGAGCCAGCCGGTGGAGGCGCCCGACGATGAGAATGTAAAATAAAGCAGCACAAGTGGTAGTAATCACGTAAAATCTTATGCGGTCAAAGTTGAACGAGAGAAACCGAAAGATACACATATTGCTAAAATAAGATGCATGTATTAGGTCGATTACTAGCGGGCGATTGGGCTTGAAACTCGATAAATCCTACACTTTCGCGCTGTCGCCGGCATATCCACGTTCAATTAATCGTCACGCTTCCAAAACCAATCCACAGCCATGGTTGCTCCAGAAACGAGAAGAACCGGAACCACCACCTTGGCGGCCGTCTGGACTTGCTTGACAGTC